ACATATCAACCTTGCAAGCATTGTTTATCATACCGAAGGTGACAAGCTGAAAGGTCAGGGTCTCACTAACAACTGTGCATTTACATAGCTTCCTAAAACCACACATTTCACTATTACACCCTTTGTAACAGCATGCCAGATTGCCTTTTTAATAGCACACGGGCATTTGGGGCTCTCCTCTCTATTACAACCCTACAAATACTGAACAGGAAGTAGAAGCAGCATGTTCCTGATCACGAACAAACCAAGATCAGATCCACCTGTCCTCCGCACAGCATCAGCTTCCAGCTCATAACAAGGTGAATACGTATGCACAGTCTCTGCTTAAAAAAAAACATCAGCAGCTGAATTTTCTATTTTTTAGATATATCTGAGGTCACACATCAATACTACATCATTTGTTTCTGCAAAATCATGAATTAAACAAAAAAAAATTTGTTCCAAAAAAAGTCTTCAATCTTGTGACACATAGCCTGGGGTCCATATGTCAGCATGGGTTCTGCCACCAAGCAAGCATAAATGTATGCCCAAATCACAAACGTGCTAAGAGCACACCATTTAGAGCAACAGACATAGCACTTGAGAAAAAACACAGATTACAATTAAGGTACTCAGTCTGGGAGGCCAGAGATCAATTCCCGAGTTGACCACACATATTCTGCATTGTTTCACCTTCATATCTTGATATACTTCCTAGCAGCCTCAAAAGGAACAAAAGGACAATTTTGGAGACCACTGCAGGGCTCAGATACTCCGGCAACAGGGCATCAAAAGATCCTAACATTAGAGGAGCCACAGCAGCTCTCCTCTACTTCCATCCTACCGCATCATACTATAGACAGCTAGCAATAACCTTCACTTAACAGCATCCCCTGTATCTCCCAAAAGATGAGAAAAGGGAAAGTTACCACAATGATAAAAAAAAACACTAAAGAGACAGTTACCTTATAGCAGTGTTTCACTTAAGCCTTTCAGAGTCTTTTCCTCAAGCCTGTAAATAGCTGTCAACGTTGTTGCTATTCTCAAAGAAGCACAGCAATGAGATCTGATTTCACTTGTTATTCTCACAAGGATATCTCACACTTATCCCCACCCAAGAATGAAGGCATACTTTCCTGGGAAGATTATCTAGTCAGTCACCTCTTCTTATCAGACAAGAACTGCTCTGTAAGTTCAGCTTGCTTACAGCATGTTTCTGCTCAGAGACTTCCCATCTCCTTCCACATGGGAAACATGAGTAAAAACTTGCTTAGTACAAACTAAATCATTTGTGATTTTCCAGAGCAGCAGCAAGTCCTGCAGTTGGCAAGCTGCTATTCCAGTGGGTACAGTTTGTTCAAATCCCCATTTTCACGGAAAAAAAAAAAAACAACTTCAAAGGAAGCAGCTTCCACTCTCAATGCAAATGTACAGCACCTAATCAGTTCTCACCCCTGTCAGCCATGATTAATGCAGGTGTGGGAGCTTGGAAGGCAGCAAGTGCTAACCCCACAGTAGATTCCAGCTTGTCTTCAGCACATTTATAACCCAGCACCTGCTCTCTTCAACTGCTGGTAGCTCCTAAGCAAAGAGGAGAAGGCCCACAGCACAACAAAAACACTGTCGGAGTACCTGGGATATCTCAACATTTACTCAGTGACTTGGGATTCTTCATCAGTTTGCATGGCTCAAAAAAACCACAGATTACTAAAAGACAGAGGAGCCAGTACCCCATCCACCAGTGCAGAGCTCAGCACTGCTTCACATGGTACACAAAAAAGAGCAAGGGCAAAAGTATAAAAAGAAAAACCACGTCCCACTCCAAGAGGAGAAATAATTAACTCCTAATCCAAGTGTTAGTGGTCAGCTGACTGGTAGTTGGCCCCTGACAGAAAGCTGAAGGCAATAACTGACAAAACAAACAACACAAGTGACACTTTGAACCCAGCCACTCCGGAATTGGTTGAGGATCACGTCAATCTGCAAGACTTATCTCAAATAGAGTTCATTGAAAGTCAAAGTTATTGTAAAAGGAGAATGATGACTTTACAATGTGATGCTGCATATCACAGTAAGTCCAGGGAAAGGCAGGCAGCAGCCAGCACAACTCCTCTATAATCAGCCCAAGCACACATACAGACAGCTCAGGGGGGGTCACCTTCCCCATCAGACATAATTTGTGCATTCACAGGCTCAACATGCTCTTCACGAGCACTGAGAACTACAGATCTGCTAAAGAAGGCAATGATAAAGCCTTTGCCACTTCCTTAAAACCTGTATAATAACACACCTGACAAATTTAAGTTCATTTTACTCCCCCCACTCTCACATTCAGGTACCTCCTGGGTATTTACCTCACAGCTGGGCGAAACGAATTATACTGATAGCAGTTAACAACCCCTTCAGCCCTCCCAGAGCCCCAGTGATGCTGCATGGCCTTGCAGAGCTCCAAGGCTAGCAGCACTGAGCTCCCAGTTATTAGTTCTCTGGAAGACTTTGAGAGGAATCTTTCAAGATATTATTCATGCTTTTATGTGGATTAGAGGGAAATAAACACAAAGACTCAACCAAGAATCACCTACTGAAACACAACATAAAGAAACTGGGAAACAAAAAACTGACAATTCAACTGCATTATACCACCACAGACAAACGACTGCTCAATCTGTATTATCCCCATCCGATTCCTTCCAGAAGGAAGGTCCTTGACTTGTTCCTCATTACCCAAGAAAGAAAGGATCCAGATAGGAGGTGAAGGTGCTCCTAACTGCACTGGATATTTTGGGGGATCTATGCCAAAAGACTAAGAACATATGCAGATGTCTGCCATCTGGCATGACACAGTGCTGCATTAAGAACCCCCAGCTTGGCCCAGGAGCACTACTCTTCAACACAATTGCTCAGCACAATTAACACGACCTGTCACATCTTTGACAGTGGTAAACCCCAACACTTTAATGCCAAAAGTTCTAGTTCAACCAGTTCCTCAGGCTTGTGACTTACTCTCCCCTACATCATCCATCATTTCAGAGACTCCCTCTTTTAAGCTGCTTTTACATCGTTTACTCTCTGTGCTTCGCTGCTACAGCAAAACATGGGCCCCTCCTCTCCTTTCTAAAGCAATGGGGATGGGAGATGTGTTCTTCCCAGAAAAGGTATTTCCTCCTCATCCTCAGAAGTGTTTCCCAGGGGAAATTTCCTTTTAGCAGCAATAACCACAACTTCACAAGTTGCCTTTTCAATACTGCTGAACCACCAAAATTCACTGTATGCACAAAATAGTTCTTCAGCCGAGAATTCAAACCTCAGTAGTCCAGGGCTCAGCTCCCCAGCTGAGTCAGTGAAAAAATGTATTTTAAAAGCACTTAGGGAGCACAGACAGCTATCCAAAAGGCCAGAGGTATGCAAAGCTGCAGCACTTATGACCTATGTTGTCTCCTGAGATGACCTACCTTTCAATAGCCACGCTGCGTAGAAAATAACTGCTCAGCACATTTTCTTTAGGGGGCTGCTGAAATAAAAAATAAAAAGTACTTTGCCTTAGAGCATGGTCAGGAAAAGAGAACACAGCACCTATTTTCCAGGCCTGCTACTCTTTGCTTGACCTGTACAAGCAGATCTTGCAGTCCCAGAGGCCAGGCAAGGACCCAGGAGTCACAGGGAAATCCCCCACAAGCAGCAGGATGTCTCCACAGTTGTCTTCACTCACACAATCTCCGTTATCACCCTACGCCTCTGGTGGCTGTGGGTCAGGCACGCCAAGCAGCACAGAGCCCGGGGACAGGCAGTCTCACTTCCCAGTGCTGCCAGCACCCAGGCAGAATCTGCCAACAGATTATTCATCAGCAAAAAAAGCCTCTGCTTCCTCACGTAAGCAGGATGAGGCCAATCCGCATTAAAAAATAATAAGAAAAACCACAACAGCACAACCACCAACACTGTGATAGTGTCTCAGATTTAACCCATCTAGTACCAAAGTTTCCAGGACCAAAGTGGCCTTAGAAGTATCAGCCAAGGCAAATTCATATTGCAAATTTCAAGTCAGAAAAAGAAACCATTGTAGTTTAAAAGTTGGGCTTGGTGCTCCTCTCAGCTCAGCACGCACCAGAACCTACCCAAAAGATGGTCACAGATCTATTTTCTTCTACACTGAGGTGACTTTCACAAACCTGTACGCCTACAGCACACACAGAATTCTTTTTCCATTTTAGGGCTCTTTCTGTAAAAGCCAACGCAGGTCCTCCCACTCGGTTCCCATCGAGAAGCCACCTTACCTCCACAGTTACAAGATAAAAACAAAACACCACTTTGGACTGAAACTGCAAAGGATGCTGAGCAGGTCTAAGAAGACCAACATCTTTCTGAAGGTCAAGGCTAAGGTTGGCAGCCAAAGACATTAATAAGATCCTCTGTGGTCCATACAAATAGAATCTAAAACGACAGTAAAATCTGCAGCATCAGTTACAAACAAAACCACCAGCAGCAGCTTGCTGCATTGCAAGGACTGCACACATCCAGAGTTTTATAACCCCTACTGCTCATTCTCAGCTCCGTCACTGTCTTATTTTGAAGAAAATGCAGTTGGGATCTCCATTTCCCTCCTAAAAATGCACGCAAACAGCAGTCCCCCACACCAAACTGCAGCCAGCTCTACCCAACCTTTATGTCTGACAAATAAGCACAGGAAATTTACTCCTACATAAATTCCAAAGGACCGGGGCAGAATGAAGTTCAAGGAAAGACCACTGCAGACTTCATTTACAGTACCTCCTCCTCCAAGTAAAAAGATGAGTAAAGGGAAAGGTAGGAAACTCCTAACAGCCCAGCAGTTCCTAAAGTACTTAAAAAACAAGACCTAAACCAAAGCCACACCTGGGAAAAGCAGGAATGCTACCAGCTGCGGATACCACCGCCAAGGACAAGGCGATGCGAGGGGAGCAGGGACGGAGGGGAGCACGGGGGCAAGGCCAAAGCGTGCCAGCCCTGCCAACGGGGAAGGATGGAGCTCTGCGGGCTCTCACCTTCCGCCAGCACCTCGTCCACCGTCACCTGGCGGCGGCCGATGCCGAACACTCTGCCGATGTAACCGCTGCCGGGCCCTCCGCTGCCTCCACCGCCGCCGCTGGTGCCCGATCCGGGCCCAGAGCCGCCCTGTTCCCGGCGCGAGTCGAAGAACTTCTTCATCTCTCAGCAGTCAGCTGAGAAAGCTCTGAGGGCGATGCTCTGCCGAAGGCCTCGCGCCCCAATTCTTCTCCAGGCCGGGGCGGCTCCGAGGCCCGCACGAGGAGCGGGGGTCACACCTGCAAAACCGCGGGGGGGGGTGGGGGGGAGGGGGACAGCCGGTTACCCCGGCGGCCCCGCAGCCCTCCCAGGGTTTGCCCTCCCCTCCCCCCGGGCGATACCTCTCTGCGGGCGGGGGGCGCCTCCATGCGCCCTGTACAGGGCCCGGCCTGTCGCAGCCCCCCGGCTCCTCACGGCGGGGGCCGCCTGCCGCCAGGGCCCCGGGCCCGCATCGCTGCCCGCCGAGCCCGTCAGGGAGCGAGACCGCCACCGCCGGCCCCGGGGCGAGCAGGAAATGGCCGTCACAGGAAGGCCCGGCTGCTCCCCCGGCCCTATGACGTCCCCGCACGGCCCGCCGAGACCGCAGCTTCACCCCCGCAGCGCGGCAGAGCGGCCCTGTGAGTGGGGAGGGCGGGCTGTAATGGCGGCCCGCAGGGCTGACACCGCCGCGATGCATCCTGGGAGTTGTAGTTCCTGCCACCGCCTCCCCGCCTCTCTCCGCCGCAACGCGGACTACAACTCCCAGCAGGCAGCGCGGCTCCGTTAGAGGTGGCCGGGAGCCTGTCAGCGAGGGGCCGCGCCCGCGCTGGAGCCTGCTAGCGGCTGGTGACATTTATTTTCGAAATGCTGCGATTAAGTTTGGCTTCTTAATGTCATAATAGCAACAGCTCCACATCTCGCGCTGCTCCTGAAGTGCAGGGTTGGTCTATACGCTGGTCCTGCTGGCACCTCCATCCATGGAGAAGCCCGAAGGCAGAATGAAAGAGAAGCAGCAGGCCTCAACCAGTGTGGGAAATAAATATCCCATTAAAACGGGAAAAAAAAGGTGAGGAGGTGCTGCATCTATACCCAAAATGCTCAAATCTTGGCAACCTAGCGACGGATATTGGACAGAATTCCACCTTTCTACTCCTCCCCAGTGCCATCTGCAGGCCTGCAGCTGGGTTTCCATAAGCAGCACTGCACCTCATCCAAAGACCCCAAAGCCTTCAGAGAATGGTGAGTTCAGCTTCAATCTTGTGAAACTTGCAGTGCTCTTGGGGTTCTTAGGGAACAGGAGAAATAAAAGCCTCCATTGAATCATTTTTTGGGGAAAAAAGCGGTATTTGGGGGAGAAAATGTCATATTTGGGCAAGAAAAGTAGTATTTTGGAGGGAGAATGTCAATTTTGGGGAGAAAAGTGGCATTTTGGGCGAGAAAATGTCATCCTGAGGAGAAAAGTTGCTTTTTGGGGGAGAAAATATATTTTGGGGAGAAAAGTGGTATTTTGAGGGAAAAAATGTCATATTTGGGGGGGCAGTGGGGGGCTTTGAGGGGCACTGGGGAACACGGGGGAACTAGGGGGCTCTGAGAGGCACAAGTGGGCAGTGGGGGGCTCTGGGGGCTCTGAGAGTCACTGCAGGTTACTGGGGGGCTCAGGGGGCTACTGGGGGCTCTGAATGGCACTGAGCAGAACTGGGGGGCTCTGAGGGGTACTCAGGCCACTGGAGGGGCACTAACGGGATCTGAGGGGCTCTGGGGGTACTGGGGGCTCTGAGGGATGTGAATTTAATGGGTGGTCCACTAATGGATAAGAAATTGGTTGAAAAGCTGCATCCCTTCCTTCCACCATGTCAACCGCACCACTCAGCTTGGTGTCATCAGCAAACTTGCTGAGGGTGCACTGTGGCTCTCCTCTGAACCTTCTCCAACAGCTCTCTGTCTTGTATTAGGGACTCTAGACCTGGACACAGTACTCCAGATGGGACCTCATAAGAGCAGAGTATGGTGGGGAAGCATTGCAGATGGAAAGCTGCTGTGTGGAGCCCCACATGACAAGCTGCAGAGGACACTGAAGGAAAAGGAGAATCAAGTCAGTTCGCAGAGGTAAAAGCTGTCCAGCTGGCCTTAGATGTTGCTGAACAGGAGAGGTGGCCAATGATTTATCTTTACACTGACTCATGGATGGTGGCAAATGCCTTATGGGAGTGGTTACAGCAGTGGGAACAAAACAACTGGCAATGGAAGAGTAAACCTATTTGGGCTGCTGAACTGTGGAGAAACATTGCTGCCCAAACATAAAATATGGTTATAAAGGTGCGTCACGTAGATGCTTCTGTGTTCAAGGTAGGGCTACTGAAGATCAGCAAAATAACCATCAGGTAACTCAAGCTGCCAGAATTGAGGTGATTCAAATAGACTTGGACTGGCAGAACAAGGGAGAATTATTTCTAGCTTGGTAGGTCCACAAGAGCTCAGGCCATCAAGGAAGAGACGCGACATATAAGTGGGCCAGAGACTGAGGGGTAGACTTAACTATGGACGCAATTGCACAGGTTATTCGTGTCTGTGACATACGTGCCATAATTAAACAAGCCAAGAGGATGAAACCTCTCTGAGGGGAAGGATGATGGTGAAAGTATAAATATGGGAAGACGTGGCAGGTTGATTGTATCATCTTGCCACGATCTCACAGTGGTAAGTGGTATGTGCTCACCATGGTGGAGGCAACCACTGGGTGGCTTGAAACAGACGCGGTACCCTATGCTACCACCCAAGACACCATATTAGATCTGGAGAAGCAAATCTTGTGGCAACATGGCACCCCAGAAATAATTGAATCAGATAATGGGACTTATTTCAAAAATTCACTTGTGGATATTTGGGCCAGAGAACATGGCATCGAGTGGATTTATCATATCCCCTACCACGCACCAGCCTCTGGTAAGATAGAATGCTACAACGGGTTGTTAAAAACCATGTTGAAAGCAATGGGTTGTGGAACATATAAGCATTGGGAGAAGCATTTGGCACAAGCCACCATGGTCGGTAAACACTGGAGGATCAGTCAATCGAGATGGTCCTACCCAATCCAGCTTCCTACATACTGCAGAAGGAGGTAAGGTCCCTGTGGTACACATAAAAAGCATGTTGGGAAAAGCAGCCTGGGTCCTTCCAGATTCTGGAAAGGGCAAATCCCTCTGTGGAACTGTTTTCGTACAGGGACCTGGGTGCATTTGGTGGGTGATGGAGAAAAATGGGGACATCCAGCGTGTACCACAAGGGAATTTGATGCTGGGGGAGTAGTCAGTGATTCCATGTATACATGTGTATATAGATATGTGCATATGTAATGCACATTAATTATTTGTTTGTTCGTATATAGATATATATTAAGCATGATGTGGTGATCTGGAATAAGAGGTGGAATGTTGCGGTTTTGTGATTTTTTGTTGTCAGTATTCCACATCAGAACATCATGTGAACCAGTGGGAGTTAAAGAGTTAATGTTCTGGTTCCGTTTACTGCCTCCTATGGGCACTTCTAGTATTCTGAAGAGAGGGGACAGGCGGCATTCCCGGAGGACTCGGCGCAAAAGAGGAAGATAGATGGAGCTCCAGACAGGACCCCGTGAGTCTCACTCCCTCTGGCTCCGCTCAGCTCGCTCTCGGTTTGCAGTAGAGAAAAGCATGTGTTTCCTTGCAGTCTACTAGAGTAAGACTACTTCATCTACTATCTTGTACTTTGGATGTTCTTGTCTCTCTCTTGTTTTGTTCCACTTGGTTAAATTTAGTAAATTAATGTTCCTCCCCATTACCAGGAGGCAACCAATCACTGCCGTTGGTTTTTTTTTTTTTTTTTTTTAGACCTATCTGCTATCTTTCTACCCATCCCCTCTCCTCCTCTCTTCCTCTCCCTAAGTGCAGGGCCTGCCTCAGGTCTAGGTAGCTAAGCTGAAAGAAAAGAGGGAGGGTAGTTTTCCCCTCTCTCGTTTTTTTTGGTTTTGTTTTGTTTGTTTTCCAGGGCTTTTTGCCCTTTGTCACAGACTCGGATAATTCTGTGACAATTGCTTTTCCCCTCTTCTTCCCCACAGCATTCCACTCTGTTCTGATTTTAAGCACAAGTGTTCTATATTTAGCCTATCCTGTTCTTGGTGAGCAGTATCACAGCCCTTCTCACTCAAGATATTGAATTCTGCAGCTATGCACATGCTAAGTTAAGTGCCTGTCTGTAAACTGAGCTCTTTTCTGCCAAAATTTCCCAGTGCACAGAATAGGAATGAGAACAGGCCTTGAGAGAATTAGACCTCCTAATATGATCTTTCTGAAAAGCCCTGTTTTTGAGGGTTGGCAGGGCTCTGGATTTCCTTTTACAAACATGATGCAAATACTACTCTCCCTAATCAGATTTTGCACATAAGACTCATAGGCTCCTACTCTGCCTTCTTGATTCTACTTTTCTCAATCTTTTGATTCAGTTTTTGATCACCTACCCCTCTCCTTCCCCTCTCAGCTTGCACACAGGAGCTTTCTACTTCCACTCCTCTACTGCAAAATCTATAACTGGCAGTTCTTACAATTCTGACAACTACTTCCCCCCCACCACTAATAACTAAGCTTTACCCAATGCCAGTAACTCATGTCAGGAAGTTGATGGAAGCACTTGTATCATCTTGTCGAATCTGCAAAAACATAATAATGTGAACAAACTCTTCTTTACTCCATTTCACTAAATAAAGAAAGCTTATAAAACAACTTAGTCAGATTCTGCTTTGGAGATCTACTGTAAATCAGAACAAAACAGAACTAACAGAAATACTGTGCATTAGTACAGTGCCATACGTACCATTCCTGCATATTAATTGTCTTAACTGCCCATGCTAAGGTAAACGGCATGGTTAAAACTCAATTCCTCAACCTTCCAGAGTCAGAATTCCACTTCTCACAGAAGACATTCACATGCCAATTATACAGTCTAAAATATTTTCCTAAGTAGACAGTTCTGAGGCTTTGGCTAAGCTTCTTGTTCCTCACTTTTTACTTTGCAGAGTCCACCATTCTTGTGCTTGACATCAGTCTCTCCACAGAAAGCAACAGAAACTGCACAAAGCAAGCAGACTACTTCACAAAGTAAAGCAGACTACTTACAAAGTAAAACAACTACTGAGAAATAAAGCACAGGGGAAAGAAACACACCTTTTCCAATTTGCGAAGCTGTCCGGTAGATAAAAACTCATCTATTTTCTCAGCTATTTTAGCATCTACTCCATCCTAAACATTGAGGAAGGATGAAATACAAGTCAATTTCAAGGTCACTTACAGCCATCATATCTAAGAAAAATAAAGCTCAATAAAAAGAACCATGAAGTCACAGAAACCATTTTAAAACATTGGTCTATAGGAGATCAAGAGCACTGAAGGGTACAAAACAAGTAGCACACAGTACTTCCAGTGTTGTATTACAAGTCCCCTGATAACAGTTATTTTAAACTGGGTTTTGATTTCTACAACACCAATTCCCCAGACTTAGTGAGACAGTAACACAGCAAAGGGGAAACCTGCCACAGCAGAAGCCTTTCACAGAAGAGACCCAGCTGGAGTCCCCAGTTCCTCCTATGAAATCCCCGCAGCTCCTATGCTCCACTTGCCCTTCCCTGAGCCAGCTGCCAGCAGAAGCTGATGCAAGCAGTCATTCGCACACTGCTTCCCTCCTCCTGGAAACCTCGGTACCATCCTAACACAGCTCCTTCACTCTGAGAAGCCCTAATTCGCCCCGGGACCTACCAGTTTCTTAGCTTCGGCTCCACTCCGTATTCTGCTGGGGTACCGGGAAACGACAGAGGCCGTTTTCCCCGGCGTCGGTCAGCGTCCAGAACCGAGCAGCGTGCTCAGCCCTGCGGCGAGCCAGGGCCGGGCCCCCGAGAGACGGGAGCGGGGCGCTCCGGCGGGGAAGTGAAAAAAGCAGCCCTGAGGAAGGAGGCCGTATCTGTACGCGTCGTACTTATGGATGGCTCGGTTCACGTCGCGCTCGTAATTCGCTAGCTCTACGGGGAGAAACACAGTTGGAGCAGTCGAGCCGGATCCAAGGATACCCTCCCTCCCCCCGCGCCCTCCGTACCCATGAAGAAGTCTGCGATGCCCTGGTTGAGGCTCTCCTGCAGCACCTTCCGCTTGCTCATTGCAAGCAGCGGCAGCGACCAACACCGGAAAATCACCCGGCAGCACTTCCGGCAGTGACGCAATCAGACCGCGACAGGCTGCGGCGCGCGCAATGCGGAAAGTGCGGATCGCTCTGCCGCTGCTCTCCGGCTCCGACGGGGGAGGAGCCGCGGGGGGGTCCCCCGTTCCTCCGGCGCGGTGGAGACGCGGCTGATAGCGAAGAGGTGCTGCGGAAGGGGTAACGGGGGCAGCGTGTGCCCAGGTAGACCGCCTGAGTCGTCCATGCGTCACATCCACCCCGAGCAGCTGTAGAAGCTGGGCTCCTCCTCAGCCTTGCCAGTGAGGGGACAGAAGCGGGACGATGCTGGCCAAAGGGGCGTCCCGTCCTCGGTGTCGTCACTCTGAACAGCGTACCGGGGGGAGATGGCCGGCAGTCTGCTGCTGGTCGGGAACCGGCTGGGCATTCATCAGTGGGTGGTGAGCAATTGCGTTGCACATCACTTGCTTTGCATGTGCTTTTCTAGTTACTGTGATTCTTGCTTACTCTTCTATCCAGGTTCACCAGTCTTTGCCCTGCATTGCTCAAGTTCCACCTGGGATTGCTGAAGACTGTACAGGATTGCTCATCTTTGCTGGGGTTCCATGAAGTCCGCATGGGGTTTGCAAAATTCTGTACAGGTTCACTTAAGTTTACACTGGTTCGCACAGTTTTGCAGGTCTTCGCTGTCTAGAAGTTCTACTTCTTTACTCAATCCCTGACAGTTTGCAGGTGGAATCTTGATTTCTGATTCATCTAGTGCTCACCATAGTGCTACTGCCACTTCCCCCACCTTGTCAGGGGATGTCCCTTCAATTAAAATATCACCTGTACATTGATACAATTTCACTGCTTCAGGATGTGATATTATTTGTAAAAGCTCAGCAAGCACAGCAGGAACAAGGGTGGCAGAATGTTTACATACCTATGGGAGTCTGCTAAAGGTATTTTGTATCCCCTCCCAAGCAGAAGCAAAGTTTTCTTCATCCTCTTCCTGCAAGGGAACCATAAAGAACACGTACACCAAAGGCTGCCATCCATGGATGTGTGGCTGCTCACAAAAACAGCTGTTACATTGGCAATGTTTGAAACAGCAGCTGCTAGCAGGGCTGTATTAGCATTCAGGCACTGATAATCAATTGTTTATTGCCACCTCCCATCTGGACAGGTGAGTTATATGGGAAGTGCCTTCTGGAGATTATTTGGATTTTTTTCTAAATCTGCTGTGACTTCAGAAATCCCATGTTGTGCCACAGCAGAAATGGGATACTGCAGTATGTCAGCAGTCTCTGATTTAAGGAGTGCAGGGGCTATGCAAAGTATGCACAATGCAGCCTCCCTTTCTTTGGGATTTGGGATTGATACTTGAGCCAGAAGACCACACACTGCCATACAGGCACATTCCAGGTTCACCCACTGAGGACACCAAATCCTAATCTGAGGGGCTCTGGGGGGGTTTTGGGGGCACTGAGGTGCACTCAGGGCCTCTGTGGAGCACTGGGGGCTCTGAAGGGCACTCGTGGGCTCTGAGCCGATCTGGGGGGCACTGAAAGGCACTGCGGGTCTCTAGGGGACAGTGGGTGGAACTTGGGTTGTCTGAACTAACGCTTGTGCAATTCTGCGCCCGAGTTGGCACGTCCATACTGCGGTGCCAAAACTCGCGCATGCGCAGTGATCAGTCTGAATGAGCGCATGCGTACTGCACTATCGGAATCGGCGCATGCGTAGTGCGGAATATGGCGCATGCGTGACGCAGTGAAAAAGTTACGCATGCGTAGTGCTGTGTCTGGAATAGCGCGTGCACATTGCCGTACCGAAGCACTATAGAGCCCCACAGAGCCCCAACCCTGCGCAGAAAACGTCATATATTTGGGAGAAAACTGGTGTTCAAAAACAGAACAGCGGCAACGATCTAAGGAGGAAAACTTAGTTTTACTAACTATGGTATTGGAATGGAAGATAATACAGTATAATACTACCTAATTGAAATTGTGGCTAATAAATTAAATAAAATAAGAGGTACACTGTCTGAAAACCAAAAAGCCTACCTTGAACTGGAGGATATGCAGTTCTTCCTCTGATCATGAAGTCCCCTGGGATCTTCTGCTCCAGAAGTCCCCTGCAGTTGTTCTGCTCTGCTGAGAACCAGGCATACAGAAAACTGTCAGTCAATGGAACCGGATTATTAACTCTTTAATTACCTCTGCTTTACAGGATCTTATGATGTGGAATACCAATAGCAAAACTATAAAATCATGACAGAGGGGCTGTGGGGGGCTCTGAGAGGACCTGGGGGGCTCTGAGGGCACTTCGGGACTCTGTGGAGGACTGGGGGGCTCTGAAGGGGCCCCCATCTCCTTTAAGCCGCACCACTCTCTCCTTGTGGGGTTCATCTCAGAAGGCGATGAGCAGCTTTGGCTGTGAGCTTCTTATTTCAGTCAGGTGGGTCCCAAAGCAAAGCTGTTGGTGGAAGTGACAGAGGAAGAGATGGAAGCATTGCACATCTCATTAGGGAAGTGAATTAGTTACACTGATTCTCAAGGTGGTAATTTGAGCCATGGAAGCAGTGACAGGCTTTAATAGCCTTCAGTGCTCCCTGCACAGAGGCATACCCGAGGGGTTCTGATGGGCAAGACGCATCCCAGTGTGACCATGCCCCAACTGCAGGGTGTACAATTAATGTTATAGACAAAACCAGACAGAGTCTAGTTTGATAAAGGGATAGCTTTATTTAATTAAGCAAGGCGGTAAAGTGAGCAAAGCAGCGCTGGGAAAGGAGGGGAGCATACACTCTACCACGGTCATGATTTGAACAAAGGATTGGCTCTGTACTTATACAGTTCTCACCTCCTGCATAGGTTCCAGCCATTCTTGCATTGATACAATTCTCACCTCCTGCAGACATTCCAGCGGCCACACAGGTTGTTACTGTGGTGTAGGTATTTTGCTGGGGGATTCATTTTCCAGCCTGATGGTTGTGGGGGTGAAAGTCAGTAGTCTTTTCCATTATTCTTTGGTTATTTTCTAGCAGCGTATGCGCCCCGGGTCTGCAACTTCTTAGTTTCTGTCGTTTACAACATTATTTACATTCCCAGACACCTGAGAAAGTACCACTGAGTTTCAATTTGACTAACAAACTTAACCCTTACCTATCACAATTAACAAATGTACAGTTAGCAGAGTAGCATGGTTAGAACAGTATTTTACAGGTTTTATAGTTAGAAAAATTGTTGCAATAGTAAGTAATCAACAATTAAAAGCGACAATCAAAAATAAATGAAATGCCCACCCATATCCTAGGCTTGCAGTACAAAACTGCAAAGGAAGGGATCTTCAGAAAGAGATTATCATAGTTATCTCTAGATCTGAGTCTGTGACAGGGGCACAAACCCAGGGGACAAAAGGGAGTGAAAAAAAACAAAACTATTCTACATATTAACAGCACAGCCAGCCCCAGCCCCATGACTAATGAGACAAGGCAAGTAGAGGGCCCTGTGCTCCATGGAAGGGAGTAGGGAGATAACAGATAGGTCTAACAAAAAAAAAAAAAAAACAAAAAACAAAAAACAACACACCACCAACAGCAGCGATCTGAGGATGAGCAATAATTTGCTACATCCAACCAAATCAAACAAAATGAGAGATAAACATAACATAAAATATGAATTTTTACACAGGGGAACCATATACCTTTTTCTCTATTTTGGTCTAGCCAGGAGCTCTGCCTTCCCTCCTCTGTATTCCAAGTCCTCCAGGAATGCTGCTTCTCCCCTCCTATCTTAGAACCCAAAATACCCATAAAGGCAGCCCAAGGACCAGAACTTGAACTCTTTAACTCACTTTATGTGATGTTCTGATATAGAACACTGACAACAAAAATCACAGAACCACAGCAGAGATCCTTCCCCAGTGGCAGCCAGCCCTTAAATGGGGTCTAGGAGAGCTGCAGCCAGGCTCCACCCTTCCATTCACAGCTGAATGCCTTCACCTGTGCTCCCACAGCTGACTCAGTCCTTGCCTCAGGTGGTCAATCAGTGGTTCAGGCCGTGACTCAACAGCTCCCATTCGCAGGGCCATGAAATGACAGATGGGTGTCACTGGGAGCAGTGGGTGTGCAAACAGCACTCTGCATTGCCAGCAGTGATTTCAGCCCTTTGCTGTCCGGGCTGCTCACACAGATATCAGCATCTGCTGTGTTAGCATTGAGATCTGTGCTCCCTCATCTGTTAGAACAGTCACCAATTGGCATCGAGGACAGACTGGGATCAAAATATGTGGGCTATGGCAGGTCATCCATCCATAAACCATCCTCAGTAAACATTCATTTTACTCGTTATCTTTGTCCTATGGCCATATAGGCACTGTGAGGGCACGGCCTGAAGCTGTGATGGAGCACCTGGGGAGGGGTGCAGCCCAGCCAGCACAGCTGGGGGCAGTTTAGCTGTTGGGTGGGGCTGAGCCGGGCTCCACCCCTCCCTGGCCCCATTTAAGGGCTGGGAAGCGCCGGGGCAGCATCTGAACCTGGGGAGTGCTTCCTTTAG